CCTTATATAGGGTTGCTAAGAATCTGGAGCTCTGGTAGCGTAGTGATTACGAATCCGGCTGCGAACCGCAAGGTCAGCAGTTCGAAACTACCACCTGTTCCGCGGGAGAAAGATGAGGCTTTCTGCTCCCGTAAAGATTTACAGCCTCGGAAACCCTGTACAGGGTCGCTATTGAGTCGGAACCGACTCCACAGCACATAACAACAACAACAAGACTCTTCCCCCCACTCCCACCTTCCTTAGGGTTTCAGTGTGCATAACTTCTGAGAGCGGAATTAATTTTAAATACACATAAAATCAAGAGTAAGGAATATATATAATGCCACATTGTAACTTATCAAATTAGAGCCATTCATTCTTGGTCTAAGACACAAGTATATTTCAGTATAGTCTATTTCACTCTATACCATCCTCTCAGCAACTGAGCGTGAGCCAGGAGCAGTCGAGTTGGAAGGGGAGGAGATCTAAAGGTAAAGAGACAAGAGTGGATGGGACAGAGTGTGTACCTGGAAGCGGTCTCCCTCTAGCTTCATTCTACCTACAGCTAGTGAAGAAGCACAGATCACATTCTGCAAGACGAGCCAGAAAACCCAAAGACAGACTAAGGATCAGAGACTATGGGGGAGGGGATTCCAGGCAACGTTCCACACCACATCCAGACCAAAGTCCAAACTACAGGCCTAAGGCCGCCCATACGCTCTAAGGCCTGCAGCCCCGACCCGGAGAGTTCGGAACCACACAGGTGCGGAGCGCATGCGCATGGCACCCATCTGCAAACAGCAGAGCCGCAGCCCATCTCTTAGCTGGATCCTAGCTACAGATTCCACCAGGCCCCATGCCGCCTCATTGCCAAGTACGGCCTAGGAGCTCCTCAGCCTTGGGCCCTGTTCCCCAAAGCCTGGACACCGGCATCACGTAGATCCCGGTTTCAGGCTCAGACCTCCAGTTAACGTGCAAGCACTGCAGACCTGGAAACGTTTCTTCCGAGTAGGGAGCCGCCAGCGTCCTCCGAACTTGCTTCAGTTTAAGCTCAGCGCCTTCCTGGTTTCAGCGTCAGGCTGCATCAGCCGAGTTTCCGAGTACATCGATGGAGGCTGCCAGGCGATGGGAGTGCCGAAAGAATAGATTGTCACGCCGCCAATTTTTTGTTCAGTGTTTTGGTTTGGGATTTGTATGCGTTTGTGTGTGTTTTCTTGCGTGCTTGTTTGATTATTTGGCTTTCGTGTTCTGAAAAAGCAATAAAGGTGGGACGTGAAGGGTGTCATTGCCTTAGTAATAGTCGTTATCGTCACAGGTAATCAGTAAACAAATCTGTCTCCCAGGAAGTTATGTTTTAGACAACCACACGTAGCCAAATAGGTTATCTCGTGCTGGGGGGAGGGATAAACCTACCCAACAATAATAAATCATGGGAATGTGTCTGTATAAAGTCGTGTGTGATTAAATTGTAATGATTTATTTGCAAAAAAGCATTAAAAGTCGGTGTTTCTTCTGCCCTGAAGGTGAAGGCACTCACAGGTTGGGTGCAAATTAGTTTCTCACATAAAAGTAACTGGTTGGCAGAGGGATACAAGAAGGCTGCCTGAGGCGGGGGAATGAGGTTTCTGAACGAAAACGCAAATTTATAGTGTTTTTTTTTTAGATTACATCAATAGAAATAAATTAATGTGGTTCTGCATTTTCTGTAACACTGCTTTTCTTGCCTAGTATGAAAATCATTTCTTCCTTATTTTCTAAAACTAAGAAGTCAATAAACCAGTAGCCTTCATTTGGGTCCACTGTGAAGAACCAACTCATTCACAACTGTTAGATACCCATACAGTTTTTCCGAAGACATTTGAGATGGTAAATCACCTCCACAATATATTTCTTATTAATGACTATACCTTAGCTAGCCTGTTTTTAGGGACTGTTTTAAAACTTAACTGCAACACTACATGCTTAGTTTTAATAATTCAAGAGCTGGGGGAACCCTTGGGGTACTGAATTGATTGGAACCTGTATATTTGTCCACAAGCTGTCAACTGAGCTTTCTTTCCTCTCAATGCTTATCAAAGCTGTATTTTGAAATCTCCTGTCCCAGAAAATATTTGTTATTTAATGAAACAGTATCATTAAAACTCCGTGGGTATTTTTAAAATATGATTATAAAACCTTGGATTAATTTATTATTATTATTAAACTTCCCTTAGGCAGGTGGGAATCTGTGATCAGACACTGCAGATCTCGAAATATTTCATCTCATATCAGCATCACAATTACCAAATATACAACCAGCCAATATGCCAAGACTATGGGAAATTCTATTTGGTTTAAATGACACAATAGTTGCATCTTAGGCTTTTCTGATTACCTTTACAGTGGTCATCTTTCCCTCAGCTCAGCAGATAGAATTTGAGTCCAGACTTAAAAGCCATGCACTTGAAAGGGTAATGAAATAATTGGAGGGTCTCTTGAACTCTTATCAGACTTTTTTAAAAAACTGTTTATAAATATGGATTTAATACCTCAGTTTGAGAGCTCCTTGAACACCAAGACCATTTAAATCTAAATCTCAAAAACGGATTTTCATAAAGGACAAAAGTTTAATGGTTATTCTCCACTGATAATATCACAATTGAAGCAATTACAGGTAGTAATCTAAAACTCATGTTTCTAAATTCATATAACTTTTGAAAGTTTGGGTATTTGAGACTCTTCTGTGATATAATAAAATATTCATATAATTTCTTAATACCCAAAAGTTATTACTACTGGAAGCTTTAAAAAAGAAAGAAAGAAAGAAACCTAATTATGTCTTCTAAAGGTAGCAATAGATAAATTTTTAAGAAACACTAAAAAATGACTTTAAAATTAAAGAGGAAAGAAAAAGAAAAGCAACATTCTAAAGGATCATGAGTTTCATTTCCCCTAAATTCATTGATTGGAAACATTTAATCTGAGGAGTTACATAAATGATAAAACTCCAATATGCGATCTCATAGTTATGTTCCTTTTTTTTTTTACAAATGTTAGAGTTTGTATTAGGCGTTACTTCTCAAATATGTGCTAACTTTATGTTGATAGCTTAACCAATAGGTGGAAGATAAACTTATCAGTGTTCTCTGCTTTTATTTTTACTTACTATGTGTTCCAAGATAATTGATTGTAAACACATTATTATGAAAACATTACCTTAAATCAAGAAGTCTGTATTAATATTTAGCAACTGTCCCCAAAGTCAAGATACATTTATTGACATACTGAAGTATATATATAGTCGTATAACTTATTGCATGTAAATATTGTTCTGTGAATATAAATACACATATTCTTCTGCCTCCCCCAAAGCCCTATTCTACCCTTAAAGACAAGTGACTCTAGAATATTGATATTCTTCACGTTTATGAAGTATTTCAGAAATAGAATTTTCTACTGTAGCTTAAAAGAGAGAGATTTTCTCCGGCTGAGGGGCTCATTTTGAAAAGTCCAAGACAAATAAAATTAGATGTGGCACAGACCTAACGTCGTTGTGTGTTTTTTCAAATTCAGAGAGGGATAATCCCTTGTTTTCCAAAATTAGTAAATCAACTAGACTGTTTCCCAGGATGCTAAGGAAGAGCTCCAAGAAGTTCATTTTGAGAGGGTTCCGACTGCAGAGACTTGTAAGAGAAGAGGTGAAGATTCCTAAGACCTCAGAGAGAGAATGAAGTCGAACTGTCCTTGACCGGGCGCTAAAGAAACACTTAAAATGGGATCTGTCAGAGAACAGCTGCTCTGGAAACGTGCTAAATCGACTTCTGTGCTTGGAGGAGTCAGCTTCGGCTCCGAGACCGGAGTAATGCTGTGAGTTACACGGACAAGGGCGGGAAACTCTAAGAAGACCCGGCATCAACTCTAGCTGCGGGATGAGAAATCCTTACAAGGAACTACGCGGGCCGGAGAAGCTACAGGAACCCTGACTGTGAGAAGGGACGTGAAGGTAGGATTTCGGACCGTAGAGCTGCTGGGGACGGAGATGCAGTATCCGGATGCCGGACTGGGATGCGGGATCCGAATGCGGGACGGGAGTGAGGGGCCTATGAACTGCTGGCACACTTGAGGTCGGGTCTAGGATGCTAAATAAGGAGACCGGCCTGAGCAGCTGCGCGGTTGTCTGAGCCCGCAAAGAGGTAGGTGCGCGATGCAGAGTGGGGATTAGCCACTGACGCCCGAAGCCGTGCACTTGTCCGTTTCCTCTTGGCCCCGCCCAGTGGAGTCAGTCCAGCTCCCCAGTGTTTAACGAAGTCGTGACACCAGCGCAAAATCCACGCCTAATTAAATTAATTAGGGATTCTTGTCAATCCTGGATTAATGACCACGAGCACAAGCGGCCGAAGCTCTCTGAAAACCCGGACGGCCGGGGACCTGCCACCTCACCCCGCCCCCTGTAGTCCCCCTTTGCTGCCCTCCCACCCCAGCCCGACAGGACTCCAGCCTCAATCTCTCAGTCTCTCTTTCTCTCTCTCCCCACACCCCAATTCCTCTCACCCCCCCTCCCCCGCGTCAGGTAGTGGCGCGGCTGCTACCCGGGAAGGGGCTCACTTGGAGTTGTGTGAAGGGAGGTAATTTACTCCGAACAAGGGGACTGTCTTTGCGAAGTATAAATAGTGAGACTTCAAGCGCAGCGTCGCTATCAGATCTGAACTCTCCGCAGGAAGAATTGTCAAAGATCTTAACATTGAACAAGCGCGCTTCAGCTCAGAAGCATCAGTTCCCATTTCCCTCCTGCGGCCCCCACCCCTTCTCTCCTCCTCCTCCTCCTTCTCCTCCTCCTCCTCCACCTCCTCCTCTTCTTACTTCTTTTTCTCCTACTTCTCCTCTTTCTTCTTTCTTCTCTTCTTTTTCTTC